GTAGTGATCCGGAAATGGAAGACGAATCGTGTAGCGGGAGTGCAGGAGGGAGTGAATGGTGGAAAGTAGTCAATCGGAAAAGAAAGAAAAACAATAGTCAAGGATCATTTACGGATAGTGGAAAGGAGGATCACGTGAGTAGGAAAAATATAGAGGAATACAAAGTAATGATGAAACCTGGTATGACTGGTATGACGATAAACCCAATTAAACTGACCAAATCTCTGAACAAAGCGTTAGGAGAAACAAAGACTCTAAAGACTCTGAGAGATGGAAACTTGATTATCATGTGTAAGGACGAAAAACAACAAAATAAGGCACTAAGTATAAATTCGATGCTTGGATACCCGGTATCATGCACATTGATGAAGACGAAGCCTTGGGTTAGAGGCGTAATAACTGGAATTCCTACTGATGTACATGCTGATAAAATTAAAAGTTGCGTTGAAGGGGGGGAAGGTAATGGAGCAAAACGGCTTCAATATGTGAGAAATAAAGAAAGGATGGACAGTCTATCGGTTATGCTTCAGTTTGATGAAGAAAGAATGCCAGAGAGGGTAAAAATAGGCTATGTAAGTTACCCAGTAAGACCATACATACCTCCTCCACTTAGATGCTTCAAGTGCCAAAAGTATGGACATTTTAGTGCAGTTTGTAAAGGAAAACAACATTGTGCGAGATGTGGGGGTGATCATGTATATGGTAAATGTGGCGAAGGAGCGAAGGCAAAATGCTGCAATTGCGGAGGTGAGCATAGTGCTGGATTTGGGGGATGCATTGCTCACGAACATGCTGTGAAAATTCAAAATGTGAGAATAACTGAGGGGTTGACTTATGCTGAAGCAGCCCAAAAAGCAAAACAAAACGAACAGATACAGCGAGAGATAAAAATACAAGAATGGACTGGGAATACTGTGGCTCAGAGAAAGATAAAAGAGGATAGTTTGGTGATCGGGAAAATGGAATTTGTTTCATTTATGGCTGAAGTGGTAAATTGTTCTGCTCAAACAGAAAGCAGAACGGAGAGAATTAAAATCAAAATAAGGGCAGCTGAGAGATACTTGAATGTAGCAGGTGTAACGTTGGAAAAAATAAATGACATGCTAAAGACTCAATCTAGTACTCAAACAACATATGGAAGTACATAATAATAATAATAATGCTTTTAACGATTCTGCAATGGAATGCCAGAAGTCTTATAGCAAATGGTCCAGAATTTAAAAAGTTTATAGATCTTTTAAATAAGAAACCAAACATAATTTGTGTACAAGAAACATGGTTAAAACCTAAATTAAATTTTGTTCTGCAAGGATATAATATTGTAAGAAAAGATAGAAAGACAGGTAATGGAGGTGGGGTGGCCACTTTTATAAAAAATGAATTAGAATACAGAGTCATTAATGAGATTGAAGAACATGAAGTGGTGGTTATAGATGTATATGCAGAGAAACAAAATATCAGAATAATAAATTATTATAATCCTTGTCGTAGATTAAGTAAAGATTTAGAAAAGGTTATTGGGTCAGGAAATCATAAAATAATTTGGTGTGGAGATTTTAATGCACATAGCACTTTATGGGGAAGCAGTAATGATGATCATAATGGGGATGTTGTAGAAGAAATAATAGACCGTAATGGGTTAGTATGTTTAAATGATGGTAGAAACACAAGAATAGATTTGGTACGTGGTATTGGGTCAGCTATAGATTTAACATTGGTTTCTGAAGATATAGCAAGTAAATGTGTATGGGATGTTTGGGAAGATAATAATATGGGTAGTGATCACTATATCATTTTATGTAAGGTAGGGATGAGTGTAATGGAACATAATGTGATTTTAGCTCCAAGATGGAGATTTAATAAAGCAAACTGGGAAGCATATACATATTTAAGTGAGGTAGAACTAACAGCAGTAGAAGTAAATATGATGGAAGACATAGATGAATGTAATGGGAAAATATGTAAAGTATTGTATGATGTAACTAATAATATTATAGGAAAAAAGGGACAATGTAAAAAGAGGAAAGCAGTTCCTTGGTGGACAGAACAATGTAGTAATGCGGTACATAATAGGAATAAAGCATTCAGAAAAATCAAAAAGACTAATTTATTTGAAGATTTTATTAAATATAAGAAAGCGCAAGCTGAAGTAAGAAGAATAGTCCGAGCAGCTAAAAAGAAGTACTGGAGAGATTGGTGTAATTCAATAGGAGAAGATATTGACATAAGTGAAGTATGGGGATCAATTAGGAAAATGGGAGGAATTTATAGAAATCAAACTCTTCCAGTTTTAAAAACTGATGAAGGAAGAATAGCGTCTTTGTTCCTTGGACGTTTCCGGTTAGTGTTTGAGCGCATTCAAAACAATGGCGGCAGGCGCTTGATGCACAGTGGGATTACGATAATTGATTTAATCCTGCTGTTTAAAATGTCAAAATTAAAATTAGATCCTTGTTGCTCGGTGGTTGGGTGCTCCCTCTGGCCTGGAACTAACATTAATTTATAAATAATCGGAAATTAAAGGGTTTAGATTTCCGAGAAACGCGCCTGGATTGCAGCAGTGAAGCGAGAAGCAGAATAGCAACTCGCAGCTCGTGGATCTACAGCGCACATTTCGATTCAGGTAAGGAAATGTTGTGTTTTTTTTCCATTTGATCATTTGTATTTATTTACGTTAACTCTTCAAGTATGATGCAAAATTGTGTTGTCGTCATTGTTTACATATGCGCCTAGCGGTTTGATTCTTGTTTAGTGAAAAAGGCCAAGCTTTTATTTCCGTTTTATTGCCAAGCGTTATGTGAGCTATAATTAAATATGAGTTCACATTAGTTGTCTAGCTATCTTGTCAGCAGATAAATGCAGTGAGTAACACGTTATAGAAATGTATACTGTAAACTTGAATGTTGTATTGTGTATCAGTTAACTGCAGTGGTTTGCAAAAGGTAACGGTAATCATTTTTTCATCACTTATTAAGCTTGGCTAATGTTGATTCCAACGTATACTGATGTATTAAACAATAATAGTATTATTTTTAAATATTGTGCATTAATTTGTGATCAACTCCGAGAACTAATCAGGCAAGAATGGATCGCCATCAGTCAAGATTTGGCCCAGAAGCTAATATCCAGCAACAGCAACCAATTGCAGAGGTTATGAAGAACAAGGGTCAACACTGTAAATATTGACTTATTATATTTTTTGCCAATAAAAGTCTTTAATACTTATGATATGCTTATTATTGTTTTTCAGTATACCATAGAAACATGTGGAAAAATAATCCACAAATACTGAAGCCACAAACTTTGCAAAACAAAATTTATGTCACTGCCAAAACTTTTGGCCATGACTATATATACTGTCACTTTACTAATGAGCCATATTAATTGAATTTTCCATTCAGTTCAGTGGGGCAATTTACGTGCAAATGGATATATGAATGATTTACACATCTTATGTTTTATAAATAAAGCCCATTGTCAGTTATTTCAAATCACATACGGTCACTTAACTATCAACAAGCCTTATTTAACAGAATAAGAATACATGTTCTAAAATTATACCAAACCATTCATGTAAATTGTTGCATTCAAAATGGATTTAGAAAGTAATACAGTAATACAAAGCCCATTGAGAAAGTGTTGGGTAATGGATAACTATTATAACCATTTAATTTGCATAATTATAACTCATATTTTCCCCAAACACAAAGCACATACAGCTGTGCTCATATTCATGTATTTCTTGCATCTTTAAGATGTAATATATATATATATGTGTGTGTGTGTGTGTGTGACCCTGGACCACAAAACCAGTCATAAGGGTCAATTTTTTTTTTAATTGAGATTTATACATCATCCGAAAGCTGAATAAATAAGCTTTTTTAAGATAGGACAATATTTGGCCGAGATACAACTATTTGAAAATCTGGAATCTGAGGGTGCAAAAAAATCAAAATATTGAGAAAATCACCTTTAAAGTTGTCCAAATGAAGTCCTTAGCAATGCATATTACTAATCAAAAATTAAGGTTTGATATATTTACAGTAGGAAATTTACAAAATATCTTCATGGAACATGATCTTTACTTAATATCCTAATGATTTTTGGCATAAAAGAAAAATCTATAATTTTGACCCATACAATGTATTTTTGGCTATTGCTTTTTGTGGTCCAGGGTCTCACACATATATATATATATATATATATATACACAGAGCTGGCTAGATTACTTGAAAATTGTAATCCGTTACTGATTCCAAAGTATAAATGCTGGCTAAAGTATTTGTTAAAGTCCATAGTGATGATAATGTATCAGAGGATATTAAAAAGTGTAGAATCCAGAACAAGAATCAGCACCCAGATGTGATGATGAAAAGAAGTCCTTCTGGAGACACTTTAGACGCAGAATTTACTATGTATGCATTAAAGATGGCTCTAGGGGGGAGTTAAACATGATTGTAGTTAGTAACGTAATCCATTACATTATACATTTTAGGTAATAAAATCAGACTAATTTTTTATTTTTTTTGTAATTAGTTTTGACCTAACTTATTTATCATATTGATTTAAATAGGATAATCTTGTACCATATTGATATAAAAATGCAAAGAAAAAGAAAAATATATTAACATAATGAAGTGCATTAACCCTGAACTGCACACATTTTGATGCTAAATGATAAAAAATTATTCCACATAATTTTTTGGTTTATTTGGCAACATTTTATTGATAAAACATTTTTTGACCACCCCTCACCCCCCATCACAAAATATTTTTTCGTTGTTGTGCAATAATGGTGCAGAATCACAGAGAAAATTCTCCATTCACATATCATAAGACACAATCACAAATCTGTCAAACAATGTCGAAATCATTAAGTGAAAAGGGAAAAAACTTGAAACTCATTGATATATTGCATTTGATAGAGACTTAGGTTTGTGTCGTAGTGCAGGGCTGGGAAACTTCAGTCCTGGAGGGCCACTGTCCTAGAGTTTAGCTCCAACCCTAATTAAACACACCTGGCTGTACCTTTCTAGTGATCTTAAAAGATATTCATTAGCTGGTGCTTATGTGTTTGGTTGGAGCTAACTCTACAGGACAGTGGCCCTCCAGGGCCGAAGTTTTCCAGCCCTGATGTAGTGTGTTGTGTCATCTCATGTACTTCATGGAATGAGATTTTACTCCGTGTGAAACTTCAAAAAGCACTTCTTCTCTGCTGTGAACAGAGGTGCACGTTACAATAAACTGATGGAAAAAATGATCATACATAGACTAAATTATATATTGGAAATAAAAGGTCTTATATCGCCATAGCAGAGTGGATTTAGGGCTGGTCGGAATACAATGGATGTTGTTTAAGCCTAGAAGCCAATATCAGGAAAGCTCAGACAAATAAAGAAGTATTGGTGGTGGCTTTATTTGATATTGAGAAAGCCTATGATATGCTTTGGAAAGAGGGACTTTTAATAAAACTTAAATGTATGGGAATTGGAGGAAAGGGCTGGGAAACTTCAGTCCTGGAGGGCCACTGTCCTAGAGTTTAGCTCCAACCCTAATTAAACACACCTGGCTGTACCTTTCTAGTGATCTTAAAAGATATTCATTAGCTGGTGCTTATGTGTTTGGTTGGAGCTAACTCTACAGGACAGTGGCCCTCCAGGGCCGAAGTTTTCCAGCCCTGATGTAGTGTGTTGTGTCATCTCATGTACTTCGAGCTACATCCTTTTACTCCGTGTGAAACTTCAAAAAGCACTTCTTCTCTGCTGTGAACAGAGGTGCACGTTACAATTTTTGCACATCACTTTGGGTGTTCCTGTGCACCCAGGAACCTTGCATCTTCCCTTTTTGTCACACAGGATTTGCCCGTATGTATTGTCAATGGGAAATCCTGGTTAGGGATAGGAGCCGTGGAACCCTGCTTCCTTACCCCTTATCGCACAACGTTGCCCTGAGGCAACATAAAGAAAAACTGCATTTCTGAACATGCAAAATAAAAAAAGTCATAAAACCTGACAAAAGTCTTCTCTACACCTTCACACACACACACACACACACACATTTTTTATGTACAGTTCATGTCATTTTAAATAAGATTACTAAAGCAAATAATCTTGCCGCCTTCTCACACCATGTGCTCCTGTGACCATGTGTCAGAAAAGGAAGTCCTGTCTTCAAATGGTGCTTGATAGTGACTCCCACACCTTATTGGACTGTTCTTTGATACTTTTCAAACATTTTAATTGGTTGCAATCATTTAAAAAACATGTATTGAACATGGGGCATAAGAAAAACTTTCCGTTGCCTGAAGGCAACGCTATGCTGTAGACGAGGGTTAAACATTACATTACGTCAAGGTTTCCTAAACTGGGGTTTGTATAGGAACTGCAGGGGGTTTGTAGGTTTAATGGAAAATTGTAGGTTTAATTAAATAATAAAAATTTACAATTAAAATAAATCATTTTAAAGTAAAAACAATCAAAATAAAACACTAACTAAAAAAATAAATATTTAATTTGTTTGACTGCATTAAAACGTCACAGAACCATGAACATGCAAATG